ATGCCACATTGATAAATAATTCAATTAATGCTAATACATAAAAATGAAAAATAATATAATTATAAATTTATATATTTTTATTAACATTAAATTAATGTACAATGTACTTACAAAATGCGATTTAATATGAGAAATTCTTATTGTTCATCATATTTTCAGGCAATGCATATTTGTTCTACTATCTGGGAGTTGTAATTATTTGTATTATCATTATTATTATCTTATGCATCTGTACGGCACGAAAAATCGCACACTACGAAAAGGACATTGCACATTACCTGAAAGATTCGGAGAGCCGACGTTATAAAGACAACAAGCAATGGTACATAAGCAATATTTTTGCATCAATGCGTCATAATTTATGTCATTAATGATATATATCGAGATATTAATAAAAAAAAATTTATTATTATATTTTGGCATTTCTGTGCGGCAGCTTTGTTGTGTTTTGATAATTAATCTTAAAAAGGTGCAAACATCGCTGCTGCTTCAAGAACGCTCGCGTTTTCTTAAGAAAATTTGTGATTTTTGTGAAGATAATAAACAACAGTAAAAATAAAGTTAAAGCGTAAATGTTTCTTATTTCATAAGAACAATAATCGCATTTCTTAAAAATTTATTATCTTTTTTGTCTTTTTTTCTCTTTCCTTCTTTCTCTCTTTCTAAGTATAAAACTAGCATTATTAATTTTAAATTTTATTTGATTAATGTAGCATTTATTGGTATTATTTAGAGTTATCTAGATAATTATGATTTCTCGAAAATATTTATCTTTATTAAACATGAAAAAAAACTTCGAATATATTCAATCATAAACTTATTAATAACTATCGAGGATATAAAATATTTATTTTTTCAATTATTTAATTATCTCATTCAATTATTTTATTTAATTATTTTGCAGGTTTGGGCTGTACCTGGAAGCATTTAAAGTCCTATTTATCTTTATATGCGTAAAACATTTTATGTATGCTACACAATTGTTCTGTGAGGAATGGTCATCTTCCCTGCGGTATATGTATGCTGCGCTGGATGTCATAGAGCAGTTTTGCATCTTCATCATATTTGTATGGAAGAAGAAGATTAGGCAGCTATTGCTGAAGCAATTCGGTTGCCAGAATCAAAGTCTGTTTTCAGCAAGTCAACACGTTATCGCATCTTCAAACAGTAACATGTCAGAGACGACTTCACTGTAGGAAAAGATCAGTTTCTACGGAAAAGCTAACTATCGCGTAAAGAGTTCATCCGATTCAACCGATTTTTAGTGCTAGTAAACGCGACAAAAGAATTCTATCATAGATCAAAGTCGACAATTATCCAGTGATTAATTACAGTGCTATAACAATTTTTAAACGATGATATTTGTATCATATTTGAATCGTTTTGTGTAACAGAATAATGGTCGTAATCTCTACTTGTCAAATACATATTTGTCTATTTCTCGTCTCTTTTTTTGTCCTCTGATTTTTATTCTTTAATGATATATTTGTAAGTCTTTTTTTTTAATTTTCTTTGCAATTCGCATTTTCTAATTTTTTGATAACATTTTTTATTAACATTATCAGAGAACTGTTGAAACATTTACTTGACTCGGACATAATAATATTATTAAATTATCTTATATTCACTTTATTATTAGTAATGTAATAGAAACATATTGTATCAAGTGTGCATATCGATTGCTAAGTATATGATATTATTCATTATGTATGCATAAAATATGTTTTTGTTACCAGACACTCATACATACATACACTCATACACACACACACGCGCGCGCTCGCGCGCAGGCGTGATAAGATTTTTTTTGCATTTGTACTTGATTAATTCCTTTCCGATGTAAATCTTTCGATTCTATATATCATTATGTAATATAAGTGAAAAATCTTCATTATTTACTCGCTTTCTAATCGCTTTGTAAAGTTGTTCTTATTGTTAGATATTATAGTAGGAGAAAACGGAGCAAGTTGTGACAGGAGCATGTTGAGATAATTCATTTAAATTTCGCACCCTTTGAAATTAACTACGAAAGTGATACTAGTATAGCTTTATAGCCAACTTTCAAATATAAGTATAATTTTCGCATCATTCAAGTATTGCTCTTTAAGAAAAATAAAAGTTTATAATTTTAAACAAAAGTAAAATAAAATAATTATTTTTGAAGTTATTTATAAGATTATAAGAAGATACTATTGGTAAGAGTGTTTTGTTAAAATTATAATAAATTTTTATTGAAGCATTAACTTTCTAAATAGCTAAGCGTCCTTTACCTTTGAAAATGCTCAGTATGTATAATAATGTTATAAATCCGTATTAGTTCTAGAAGTAACAACCGCGGATTTTTTCTGTGCTCTATAAAATATCATGAGAAAGATAATCAAATACCGAGCTTATATTAAATATGAAGTTTCGAGTAAATTTTACAAAAATAGCAAGGATGATTCCACATTATATGGCCGCCATGGAACTTCCAATGGAAATGACAATAAAAACTATATTGGTCCAAACTAATCTAAAATTATCTTGCCGTTGAATTGAGTTTAAATTATTATCTGTAGTTTCGTCAAGACCAAACTTATTATTCAAAAATTATTCTGTATAAGTGACTTTGCAGCACTAAATAAACCGCTTCATCAACGCTATTGACTAATCGTCAGTCCCAGTAATCTCATATTATTATCTGCACTAATTCCCGTATTAGTATCTTTTACTGGTTGTTCTTTTGCTTGTCTCGAAAAAAAGGTCACGGCGAAATTGGCCACAGTATTAGTTTTATCATAGCCATTCAGTGAAATTGTTGGAATTGATGTATTAACATGATTGTTAACGACAACATTGGTATATTTGACCTCGAAGAATTTTTTGTATTTCTCTGGTTGATAAGAAGAAAATAATACACCCACAAATATGGTGTTTTAATGGACTTTTTACAATTTTTATACATTTTCCCCATATTTTAACAGCAAATGAATGTTACCACGTGATTATACGCCCAAAAAACTATAAGAAACCATGCAAATTCTAGTTCCGGCTGAGGGCAAAAATCGACGACTTTTTAACATACTTCTTTATCTGTTAGCTTGTACGTATTCAAATTTTTCAATCTGCTGTAAACAATTGAGCTTACGATTAATGGAAGCTCTTATCTTGAACAGATTTATGTTTCACGTATCATATTTCTACGATACATTTATTATATTTTTTCTTGTTATTATTATATATAATATAGATATCTTGTTTAAATTTAATTTTAATTAGTTAAAAAGGTGTATCGTGTTAATATAATTTGATATTTAGATGTTCCAGACGATATTTATTATAAATATAAATTTTAGAAGTTATAAAAGTATATTTAAACATAAATTAAATAATCAAAGAATATAATGGAATTTTCTTTTTGATAACAGAATAATCTTTTTGATAATAATTGTATAATTTTATCTTTATATACACAAAAAATGATTATATAATTCTATTTTCGTATAATACAAAATTTAAATTTATTTTATATATATACATACATATATACCAATTAAATTTTTATTAATTTTCCTAAAAATATATACTTATTAAAGATATATACACAAATAAATTTTATTTTGAATAAAATAAATATATTTAGATTTAAATTTTATAATGCAACAAATATAAAAATGGATGTAAACTGGAAGCCATCCTAAGCCGGAAGGCAAAGATTAATAAATACAATACAATACAAAAATACAATATTTATATTTTTCTCTTTTCTGCTGTTATTGAAAGTAACATCACATACAGGATTTTGTATGTTAAAATTGCAATCTCACTTTAATAATGTTTCTGGAAATAAAATATTTATCTGTTCGAGCGCCACAAGATAAATACATATAACTAGCTAGCGGAAATGTTTGAGATAGTGATTAATGCGATAGAATTTTTGATTATAGTTATAAAAATTGTATTTTTTAATTACTCCTGCTCTCGTCATGCATCAGTATTCTGTTTTCTTTGAACACATATTAAAGTGATTCGGGATATCAATCTCCAAAAATAAAATTGCGGGGTTCAATAAAATTAATCTTTCGTCGAACTAATGGTATTGTTCTTGACAGATCACGGACTTGACTTATTAACGAGATGCTTATTTATTGGCCTATTTATCATTTTCTTGCTAATACACTCTTTGTGTGTGAGTATAAAAATAATTTATAATTTATTGGAACAAGATTATCAACAAAACCATCACAATCTAACAATATCACTCGCTTTTATGTTTCCTTGCCTTACTGTGGCTGCTGAATATTTAACAATAAATAAGCAATTCGTTTTTTCCAAGTAAATTGGATGTGTCAAAACATCGACAATATGCGGAGAAAATCTTGCGTTTTGCTATTGCGTGTTTCTACTAATCGTTTCATTTTTAGTACTTTATCTAAATTCTACGAAAGACCATAATTCGATGATGCGATACGAGCTTGACGAGGATACCATAAGAAACCGTGGCTATTGCTGTTAAGCCATTGTTATCTTCGATATCCTGTAAAAAATAATTGTTAATAAATTTTTTGATGCGCGCAACAAACAAATATGAGATACGAACAACTGCAATCCGAATTTTGCATAGAATTCCACAGCTTCCATTTTAACAAACTTATTATCATTTATAAATTGAGATAGAAGAATGAATAAGATTTTTCCTACATTTGTATTTGATCAATTGTCTTCGAGTATAAATCGAGAATATATTAGTATCTTTGAAATCATCGCTATTTTCGATATCCTCTAAAAAATAGTTGTTTATGAATCTCTTAATGCGTAGAATATGAGATGCAGACAACTGCAGAACAGATTTTGCATAAAAATTTGTTAGGTATCGTTAATTCCGGATTTGCACTCGTATTACTCGACAATAATTTCCAACTCACGATCGAAAAACCAATTTGACCATTGTTTTTTTCGCCCATGTATATTAACATTTTATGATGCCGAACTTCGCGCTATTCTCAATTCTTATGAAATTTCTTACGACGCTCCATAGCAGTTTAATGACGTGTAAAATTATGAAGGAATCGTTGCAGCATCGTGCACAAGTGAGAGTGTTTGCATAGCAGGTTGTCCTGTGCTAGAGAAACGGCCAAAGGTGAGTTTTATGGAATTTAAATAAGAACAAGTTATAGCAAGCTTCTGCATCACAATAAAAAATGATTAAAAATGCAGCAAATAATGATTTTGAAAGTTATAAGTCAATCGTTCTGAATATAGAAGATTGAAGTACACGAAGTAATAAAAGCGCGTATAGTTTTGAAAGTTATAAGTCAATCGTTCTGAATATAGAAGATTGAAGGACACGAAGTAATAAAAGCGCGTATAGAAAAAAGATTAAACAATGGTTATCATTCATAGTTATCAAAAAAAATTATACCGTTGATTAAATGCGCGTATTTTAACAGACAAAAGTTCGAGACTTATCAGGTTTAGATTTCTTCCGTAATGTCCGATACGCTTTTATCGTCAAGTACCGCGATCATTTACTTACGTCAGAAGGCAGCTGAAACATTCACACGTGGATACAATGCATCGTTCCGCCTGCACGAGATACACCGTATCTAATACGAGACGCCTAAAAGTCTTCGACGTTTCCTCGAAGGAGTGCACCGCGCGCGTTTCTTATATCATCTCGGACACTAACGAAGATATAGGGTGTCGCCTGGCGGACAGATAATCGCATCGCGCCGGGTCTAAGGTGTCTCACCGTCTGGAGATTGGCGGAGATATTGCGTTACGTTAATTACGCGCTATCGCGGTCGCCGTTTAAAAGCGATGGAAACTCTGAACAACAAAATTATATTGTTTTGTTTTTCCTACATCATGGATATTGTATCGGGTAAACAAGTATTTCTTATGCTGAATTTAAATGCATTTTTAATTTTCTGTTTCTATGAAAGATTTGTCTCAAATATTTTGCGATAATTAACATATATCTGACGCATATTCTCACTTGCCCTAATGTTTTCATTAGAGAGAGAGAAATTTAATTTGCTTAATAATATAAATATATCGTTCTTATAAGTAGCAATTTTATGAAAAATCTTTACGTATTTTAAACTATTTAAATAGGAATTGTTATATACATTTTGAAATATCAGTTATCCCCTTTTATTTATATATATGTATAAGTTAAGACTAATAAAAAATTTTGACTACATCTTTAAGTTTTTTGCATAAAAAATCTGCTTCAATCATTGAGAATGATATATGTGGCAATGATTATGTTCGCAAGTGTAATGAGAGTCGTGACTGGAAATCGACCACCTGAGGGATCGCCGGCAGAACTGGATAAATCTCAATACAAAGTCAATTACGGCTGGCAGCTACGATCACTACGGTGGGCGTTTTTATTGCAATATAATTCCATATAAAAGAGCAATTACGTAAAAAAGGAATCATGCATCAATGTAACAATGTAACCGATGGATC